ACAAACTTCGGCTTTTTGATATCAATACTTTGTCAATATACACACAGTAATTATCCAATTTATTAAACATTGCCGCAATGATTTTACCCTGTGAATTAGATTATCATTCATTGAAACTATTCCTAAGGAAATCTGAAATTTCTTTTCCGGTTATTATAATGTCCACATTTAAATATGTGCGTTGGATGATAATGAAGGCTAAAATTGTGTTTTTTATTTATACATTCTAAACTAGTTTCATGTTTTATAATTTCATTTTTAAATATTTATTTCTTCAGAGAGCCACAGTAGTGGTCTAAAACAATGGCAAAAATAAGAGTTTTCCGTGTGAAAACGCTCATTTTTAATGGGAGCTTTACTCCACCTTTATTTATTCCTTTTTTTTAAAGTATTTTTTATTTTTTAAACGCTATTAACAATCACGAAATTCACTTTATATGGAAACATCATAAAATTTAATAAACGTGAATCAAATATCCGGGTACTGAAACTAATAAGATTGACTTGTATTCTACCTTTTTGCACTGAATATCTTCTTTTCTTTTCTTCTAAAAATTACATACTGTTTCCCTATTACGAACATGGAGAATAAAATTACCGCAAACGATTTTTATCGTTCTTATATCGTTGACTATGAATTTAAATTTTCATTCTAAATCTTCGATCTACTTACTCTATGTATTCGTCCAGTTTGAAAATGTTGAAAGTATTATCTTATTAATTTGCCGTCAAAAATAAATTAAAAACATCTCTAAGATAATTTCTTACATAACGTTAATTTTATTAGTTCCATGGTGCTGCCATCTAGTCACTGAAATTGAAACTGTGTTATTCAGATAATATTTCATTCGTGCTTCATTGTATATTGTATACTGAAGATAATATGGCGAAAAAAGTATAGCAAAAAATATACATATGTCTTTGCTGTTCGTGAGCATAGTTCATCGAAAATTTATCTTAAAAGCTCACATATTTCTGCCCTCTGGAAAAGAAAATTTATCGAATAGAACCAATTTGTAAACTTATTTCTGTAATTAAAAAAGAAGTATTGAAATAATATCCTTTTTTGCCTGATTTTAGCTCTTCCAAATTCTCATTTACTTTTTTCTGGAAAACACAATATCATTTTACTTCCATGCCGAATAAATAGTGCATATTTATAGTGCAAAGAAAATTGAATAAAACCACAAATGATTTCCACAATATTTAATTTTACAAATAAGCATTTTTAAATAGTCATTTAGGGTTGAAAGCCATAAGAATGACTGTAGGTGACATTTTATTTTCATTTTAAACTCGCTTTTGTAACACAACTGTGTTGAAAATTTCGATTGCGTCATTTTTTTTCTTAATAACTTTTCTTTTATTAAAATACTAAAATAAGTATCGTTTATATTAGCTTTTCTTCCATTAATAACTTTTATTTCAGTAAAATATAAATTAAATTGAGTTAATGAACTTTTCATGTGTTAATATAATTTTTATGAAAAAATAAATAAATAACTAATGTTTGCAAGCTTTTCTTTCAATGCTAAAACTTTCCTTTTATTAAATGTCATTGGCATTTACATTAACTTTTCTTTTATTAAAAATATGGTTCGAGTAATTTCTAGACATGGAATCTTGAAAATTATTGTCTCTTGCTAACATTAAAAATAAATGGAAGTTGTGATTTCATATTTTTACTAAATCTTTGTATAGATGAATGCGAAAAATGTCTGAAAAAGTAAGTTTATAAACTTTCAATTTATTCTTTACTTTTTTTCCAGTTCAATAATATGCAGTATGCTAAAAATGTATAAAAATGTAAGATAATTCGTCCTCCTATTTTGTTTCAATTGTTGTGAAATTCTTTCTAATTTAAGTATTACTAAGAATTCCCGCAACAAAACTGAGAAGCACTGCAATGAGCGAAGTGCTACTCATTATTATGTATTTTTTTCATAAATATTAATCATTCATTGTAAATCGAATGTAAATGTATATTAACCACGCTGCTTTGCAAAATATTTATCAGTATCTGATGTTTAAAAAGTATCTGAAATCGAAACATTTGATGGTACATTACAAACTTGCGAATTTTATTATTGAAGAACCATATAGTTTAATGCTGATTCAGTGATTCTTACCACCAGCTTATAACTGAGTCAAATCAAGTGATTAGGATCAACAAGTGATTCTAATCAGTGAGTTACTCGAATCACCTAAGTGAGATGATTCTATTGAACGGAATCACTTAGATGATTCGTTTTGCCTTATTCTATCACAAAAGTGATAAAAACTTTAACTACAGTTACGTTTAAAAAAAAAATTCGACATTTGCTCGTCCTGTAAAAATTTTAGCTCAAATCACAAGTGTATTAGACATGTTTATAAAATGAAACCCACACGAAATATTTAAGTCCTAAACTTTATATTCAAGAGTTCAATTATCTAAAATTAATTTCTAAAATGTCCATTACATGGAAGAATTCTTAATTATAGTTTTCATCAAAAGATAACACGCAAAACTGTCCTTTATGGAAAAAAAATAAGAAAATGTTATATTTTTCAAAATGACTCTGTAAATATAATTTACGTCAAAAAATCGTAGATTTCGAAGTGCAAATTTTTTACATTTGTTTTTGAAAAGTCCATTTTACTTAATTAAGGCTAGGTAGGTAGGTACCTTATTTACGTCGCACTAGAGCTGCGCAATGGGCTATTGGCGACTGTCTGGGAATCATCTCTGAGAATGATTCGAAGTCATGCCATCGTAATTTTGATCCTCTATAGAGGGGATTGCTCCCCTGCTTTAGTAGCACAAAGATCTGTGCGTGAGGTTGAACACTTTACGGTAGAACAGTTCAACAAGGACCGACACCGTGCACCCTTGGTCCCTACGCAGGCTGATCAAAGTGGTCAACCACCCACTTACTGACCACAGCCAGTGATGCTTGACTTCGGTGTTCTACTGGAAATCGTGTTTTTACGTTCAGTCCACTGCGGGACTAATTAAGGCTAGATGAAACCATCAATGACTATGCTAATTCAAATAATTATATAATCATTGCTATAATTATTCTCGTTGCTTGCGATTTGCTTAGATTGAATTCGCTTATTAGTATTCCGGTAAAAGCAATAAAAATATATAACTATTCCCTGTTTTCTTTTTTGTACTGAATTTTTCATTGAGTTAAAAAGTAATAGTGAGATGGAGGAACAGTGACGGTATTTGTTGAAACAGTAAGAGACAGTATGACCACCCTAGTGTAATTAGGAGACTGTTTAGAGATTTGAAGCCCTTAATATTCTTTTCACTTTTTTCACACTTCGCCATATATCTTGAAACACTTACTCAAAACAAGAAATGTTTATACTGATTTTAGATACTTGTTTACTCAAATATATTTTCATTTTAAAGTTTAATGATTTATCTTTTTATTTCTATTTAATTTAATAAAGACACTTTTGAATTATAATATTTATTAATTTTATATTATCCTTTTAAACTAAATGATTTCAAATCATACTATCTGAAACTTGATTGTATTCGATTGAATAGTTTCTGAGTATCAAATTTCAAGAGAAAACTCGATATATTAACATTTATTTTTCAGAGGCTATTAATTCGATTTACTTCAAATTTTAGATTTTGACATTACGTAGTTAGTAAATGCGTAAAAAAAAAAGAAATTTATGCGTTACTATTCAAATTCCTAAATTAAATATTTAAAAAAACAAACTAGCCTACTCGAATTTCGAAGTAATCCGGAATAAACTGGGAAATCAGTTCCGGTGATCAGCGAAGGCATCGAGTAAGAGTTGGACCCTTAATAGTCATAACAGTAGTATAATGAGCAAAAACAAATACTACATTAAATAAAATTAATAAATTAATAAAAACCGCCGTGGCTCAAAAGATAGAGAGCTCGTCTGAGAATGAGAAGACTCAGGCTCGAATCCCAATGTTGGTCGACCCATACGAATTCTACTCCTGGCTCGCACCGAACATAGTGTTAACATAAAATATCCCCTTAGTAGCACACAGATCATGGGGGGGATCCAGTTACTCCTGAACAAACCGTGAAAGTTTTCATGGTTTTTCTCTCCGTATAACGCAAAAAAAGAGTTAATTCCATCAAAATAGTCCTCCCTGGAGGCTAGTTTATCTCACTGTTTGATCCAGAAGTTTTATTGTCTTCTGGATTGGTTTCAAAATTACTTAGCATTGACAGATGTAAACTCAGATTAGGGTCGGCTGCTCAACGCCAGATGAATAAAATTATTTGTAATTTTTTCAGGCTCCCATTTCAAGCTATGCTTAGTTTTTTACACACTCATTTAGAGCTATTCCCCTGTTATCAAACGTATATGAAAAGTATTGTTCATATTAATGAAAGCTCAGTTTGAGCTAAAAGGCGTTTTCGAAAAGTAAAGATACTTTATCGATAGCAGCAAAAGAAAAGTTTCTGTGAGAAGGATGGCATCCCCGACTGTAACCTTGAATGTTTCACTTTACCCTAGAGGCCATTCGTTACTTTTATGATGAAGCCATGTTAAAGCAACAAGTCTTTATTATGTCTGCATCAATTAAGAATCTCACCAGATGCGCACTCGTCATCCGACAGCATTTCAAACCAAAGCACTAATCAAAAGTTTCAAATGGAACATTTTAGATCATCCGCCATACAGTCCGGGCCTTTCACTTATTCATTTACCTGAAAAAGCACCTTGCAGGGCAAACCGTTCACGACGATGAGATCAAAACAGAAGCTTAAATATAGTCCCGACAACACGTGGCAAAATTCTATGACCGTAGAATACAAAAACTTGTACTTTGACTTAGCAAATGCTTTTACAATGTTTGAAACTATGTCTAAAAAATAAGGCATGAGCCAGTAAGTAAGTTTAATGAACATTTGATCAATTAATTTTTATTCAGGTGAGTATATGGCATTGTATCTTTACTTTTCGAAAACGTGTTGCATATACAAATAAAAAAAATAAAAAACGAATATTTTTATAACATTTTACTAAATAAAATATACAATACAAATACACATTCAAGAACAAATTTGAGCAACTGTTGCTCTTTACACTGCATCACAGCAGTTTCGTCAACATCGCTTTAATAATCTTTGGTTTGGATCATAATGTAGAGTTACCAGTCCTCAAACCTTATTTGCGATTAGAATTTCTTTCATTTTGAGAATATTTCCCTTGTTTAGTTAAAAATCCAACTGAGGTAATGACACAAACTTTCGGAAGAAAATTCATGTGGAAAAAAAATTTGTTAGTTTTCTAAAAAATGCTAAAGGCGACTAACAAAATCACGTCCATGATGTTGGAAGTTCTTGTGTTGCTGTGATTTCGCACTTTTGGACAACCATTCAGGGTCTATATCTATTTTAGCCAATCCATTGCCATTTTGCACTGACTGTCCAGATTTAAAGTCATTTGTCCAGCCATTGGTGTACACAGTTGGCGCCGTGGGAAGTTCGTTTTTAGGTGCACCGAAAAGTAGTGACTTTAGAGTGATTTTGTTTTTCCGCAGATCTTCTTCAATTTGGAAGAAAACTTTTCCAACGTTCACAAAGGGAGCTTCCACTAAGAAGCAAGTGAAAAATGCCATGACGTAACTGGATACTGTGAAACCAAAGTATATGAAAATCTAGAAAACAATAAAAAGAAAAAAATGAGGTTGAGTTTATAAATATCAATATTTTAATTATAAATCTAAATAATGCAATTTAAAATATAAGGGAAATTTAAAAGAAAATACTAAGTTATGTACTAAAGAGCAAATTCCTCGGAAAAAGTGCTTGATGGCGGTAAACCTTGACAATCATCAGTTTGCGATGATTGATAGCAACTTTGTTATGCCGAATGATACTGAGTTCAGTCAATCTCTCTTCTGATAAGCTTGAATTCTCTTCTTAAACTTATAATGTAAAGTCACCTTTTAATAGAGGAAAGTTTCCTAATATGCGACATTCTTTTTAGAATTAAGACAAGAAAATAATAATTAATATAATGTTCATTACAATTATATTTAATGTGCCCGTGTAAATCATCAAATTTTGGTTCGAGTTCTAAAATATCACACCACCGCAATCAAATATTTCAGTTTTGAGCATGATTGTTAATTAGTAGAGGAAAGGTTCTTAATATGCTACATTCTTTTTAAAATTAAGATTAGAAAATGGAATTTTAAAATGTTCATTATTATACTCGTATCTGTGACATACCTTTTTCAATCATTAATATTTCGTCAAATTTGAAAAGCCCAAAAGCCCCGCAGTGTTAATTCAAAAAATAATAATATATATAATAATAAATATAATAAAAATAATAATAATAATAATAATAATAAATATAAAAATATATATATATATTGAGAAATACTCACTTCCTTCTTTACTGCCTAGCCCTAAAATAAAATAACATAAATTATATGTATTTGAGATTCATCCTTATACAAAACATTTAAAACTACAAATTCNCTACTATATATATATATATATATATATATATATATATATATTGATTCTTATAGACTAATTTATATATATATTAGTTAATTTATCAGTTTCTTAAATTGCTTCGATCATTAAAATTTAAATAATTTGGAAGATTATACAAAAAATGTGAATGATTTTTAATTAAACGAACAATGTTACTTTAAACTTACTGCTAAACAATTTCTAGCTTGAATTCCATCTCTCAATGTTGCATAAAACACATATTGCACTAATGGATGAATCATGTACACCATGAATGTTAACCTGCTAAAGGGAATGAGGGGTTTCCATCGAAGAATAGAAGCCAAAAATCCTGAAAGGAATTGAAATTATTTACTCTATTTATTTGAAAAATTGCATTACTATTTCATTTTAACTGCTCACGTTTAAATTGAATTTTAATTTTAATTTAACCGTCTAAATACTTTATTTTATGTAAGTAAAACAGCATTAAAATAGTTTTAAAATACACAGAAAATAAAAACTTTTAAATTTATTTAATTTAAACGAATGAGGAAATTAAAAGTCTGTTTGGTGGTCAGGGAGCTGACCTCAAGATAGAAAGGTCCCAGCTTAGAATCCAGGATAAGACATGGATTTTTCCCTCTCCCACTTCTTTGTACTATCTATCTTTCTTCTTATGGGAGAAACTTTGACCCACCTAATATGGTGCCCCGAAGAGAATAGTGAACAAATCTGCTCTTCTGATACTCGAACGACGAAAGTCAATATCAGAGTAGATATTAAAAATTTTAAAAAAAAATTTTTAAAAAATTAAGTAGTTTATTAGCTTAGTACCAGAAAGAGGTACAATTTTGCTTACCCGCTATTATGTACAAGGACAGTTTAGGGAAATAGGCCTCAAGAATTCTAACTTGCGTAACAATGCGTGATAAAAAGGTAAAATTTAACTATCCTAACTGGTTTTCAAAATGCCGCCAAATGTATTTGAGGAAACAATTCTACAATTATTAATTCCGAGAACTATTGCGCATTTAAGTCAAAAGTACTATTTCTAACAGAAGATTAAATATTTATGATCATTAAAGAAAGAGAAAGAATATTTGCGGTTTGAAGTATATAGTTAATTTAAATATTACTTTATATCGTATAAGAGGGCGGAAATTTCCTTTTTCATCTTGTATTGTTTTTGCCATCTAAATTTTCCTATTTCCATGTCGCTGAATCAGGGGGCGTGGAAAAATGTATTTAACAGCAATTTGTGACGTATAGTTTCTGATGTTTATTAAAGTTTGAATTGAAAGAAAAATTTATTTTGCCTGGATAAAACCTGTTGTAATCCATTCATTCGTAAGAAGAAAAATAGTTTGAGAAAAGAAAATAGTGTGCATAAATATTCTTATTTTTTCGACAATAAATAGATACGTTAAAAGAAAAGGAAAATAGCATCGATTAAGTAATTATTAGTACGTATAGCTCATGTAAAAAGGATTTTAAACAATTGTAATAAAGCTCTCAAGCTCTCAATATTTTTATTCATAAGTTTGAACAAAATTATGATCATTGCTGTTATTAAATTTATTTATTTGACTCTAGTCAGGCATAAACGGTTCCTTGCATAAAGTTCAAAAGAAATTTTCTATGAGTACCGATGCACAGCTTACCTCCACAGCCAGTACTACAGGCTATAGTAATCCAAGCTAAGCCAACAGTCCATGACATTCTGCTTAATGATGCGTACAAAACGGTGGCTACCTTCCCAGTACCTGGACCATGAGTGTTCCATGGATGTACGCCAAACAGTGATGCAGACGTACAGGTAAACGCCGCTAACCAAGCAAGAGTTTTCAAAGACTATGGGTAAAATTCAAAGAAAGACATTTTAATAAAATTATATACTGTATAATAAATTGTATAATGTACTGTATAATAACCATAGTTAGTACTCACCCAATGCATATTTTTGGGTGATTTTTTCATTCGAAGATAGTAGCCAACGTAGACACCGACACAAAAGGGACCAAGATGTGGCCAAGGTGGGTAATAAGCTTCGAGCATTAATGCATCTCTTTGTCTAAACAAATATGAATGTTTCTATCATTACATGCATTAATTTTTTTTCCATTCAAATAACACATTAGTTAAAAGTTTGATTCGATATTAAAATTGTATTGTGCTATTACCAGAGGTAAAAATAGATATATTAAGAAAAAGGCAAATGGTAGCGAAAAAATAATTAGTTGTACATACAGTTTATACAGTTTTAACTGTTAAGTATTATTTAACTGGAGTAAACATAATAGATACACTAAAACATGGCTCAAAAATTACTGAAACGCAAACGCACAAAAAAAGAAAATATATAAACTTAGTGGCAAAAAATTGTTAATTGCCTTCTTCTTACCAAGTGCTAAATAATTGCTAATTCTCCAGCGTGAGGTTTTGATAAAAGTGAGAATGGTCTTGACATTAAAAAAAATCGGGAATGAACATGGCATTAAAACTGTTTATTCGGTTTAAATTTACTTTTCAGTTTCGATTTTTTACTGAATGTGTAGCAATAAGAAATATAATTTTAAAAAACCAGAAATTCCGTTAAACCGTTCTCATATCAACGGAAAAATTACCAAATGAATAGATTACCGTATATTTCGATTTTATTAACCAAAATTATGGTTATTTTACCAGAAATATCATTACCATACAGTTTGGTAATTTTACCAGAATTTCTTTCTTCATGCAGAAGTTTTAGGCTTAAAAAGTGCAATTTTTAAATTATGCATATTTATGGGTCAGATATTACTATCTAGACTAGTAAGATATTTTTACCTATGCAATTTTTTTTTATCCTTTGAATCAAATAAGATCAAAATAAAATCATTTCAACTATGTTTGGATTTTTTATGAATGCTTGAAATAAATTTGAATTATACTCAACTAATGATGAAGTCGTAGAATCGACAGGTTTCAAAGATATAAATGATATTGATTTTGTACAAGTATTATTTTTTACAGAATCCGAATATCGTAAGCCATAACCCATTTAAGGAGATAAAATTTTCATACGCAATGTTATATTCTTCATTTTAGTTATCAAAAAAATTTGTACCACTAACTATTTTGTTATGGGGATTAAAATTACTGTGATGTAATTTTTCTTTGAAGTCTAAATCATTTTTTCCGCTGAAAACGTTGTAAAAAATTAGTTTAAAACTCATATGTTAAATTTATATTCAAGTAAAGACTTCATTTTTATAAGATTTCAATGAATTTGCAACGATATGAAAGACGAACACAAAGGAGAACATCATTAGTTACAATGAGTTAAATTTGCATGGAATTATATATGTCAAATACTATACATTTTTTCATAGTTTAGGCATTAAGCTCTTTTTATATCATAGTTTGAGGTTAACAGAAATGTGAAGAAAAAAAACTAAGTACTTTAAAGAAAAACAAAATGCTTTAAAAGTATTTTTTACATAAAAAAGAAACTTTCAAGTAAAATTAATACTTACTCAACATCGGCTCGAGTGAAAAGCATGGTTGGTGGTAAATCTCTTATATAGTTGTGAATACCTACAGCAAAGATTGATAATACCATGACAACTAGATTGACAATCAATCCAATTTTTGGTTTTCTATAGTGAAAAAGTGAAATATAAATAATTATAAATATTGTATGTATAAATAATGAATGTATAAATTATGTATGCAATGTATAACTTTATTTCTATAAGGTATAAGACTTAAATCTATACGGTAAAAGCGTCCTGTAACGTTCACGACACAATACGAGAAGTCCGCTATTACGACAAAGTTCCAAGTTACTGTCAAAATGCGAACGTTAAAGATACAAATATTGTATGCTTATAAGTTAAAAATTATTTACTTCTCGTTTTTACGACATTTTTTTTAATAGAAACACATTTTTCCACTATTTAAGTGATCATTATAAGATATAACCAAAATATATGACATTTTTATTTATTTCTGATATCAATAAAGTAAAACGAACGAATATTTTATCTCTTATCTTCTTACTATCTTAACCTTTTATGTTTTCAAAGCAAATATGTTTGGGCAACCACCAGCTAAGTTAGCTACCACCATACAAAAGATAAATTCTGCTGTTTTTAAAAATCCTGTCATATACCTCAAAAGAATGCGATTTTTGTTTACTACCGATTTAACATACTCCCTTAGTTTTCTTCTTGACGACTTACCATTGAAATCACTAATCAGTGTTTGCAATTCAGTGAAAGTCAGCAGTTAAGCTGCAGTTAAGTCATTAATTTTTTCTTGCACCTTGTAAAACTTTCCAGTGTAATCTACTCCAAACATGTATTTAAAATGGAAATAGTTGCTTAAAGTAAAAGGAGAGTAGTTAAATGTGCCTTTATAATCTTGGAATATTTTATTTATTTATTTTTGCTATTTTAACTTCAAATTCGTCCATTGGGTAATAATGTCAAACTCACTGTAAGGACAGTTCCATCTGATATTGCGAACTGTCGTTATAACGAACTTTTCCTGTATATTGAATAACCTGAAAAGGTATAACACAGTAGCGTTTGAAAATCATTGTTTTCTAATATTCCCACTTTATATGTATTTTATTTTGTTTTTAGTACTCTGTTTATTTACAAATACTTTTTTAAACATCACTTTCATGTAAATAACGCGATCTATATGTATGATCCATTGATGAGAAAGTAAATGAAATAGATTGTAACAAACCGAAATCTATAAGCTATAATTCATATGGGGTGAAATTATATGTACATTTTTAAATATTTCAGCTAAATCATTAAAAAATCAAATAAACATATATGAGGTTTTTGGTATATTTCTGTATCTGTCGTATTTGCGTTATAATTATTATTATTCTGGTTCTTACGTATAAGGTATTATAAAATACAACACAGAAATTAGAAAATTTTAAATGATATTATTTTAGTTTCATTTTAGAAATTTTATGGTTCAAGTCATCATCAATGTTAGAATTTTCAAACTTTTGCTACGAACTAGCATCATACAAACCTCATTATGAGTAAAACTATTGGAATAGTTAGTACATAAACTTGAAAGTCAGCAGCCAAAAACCATGAATATGAAAGACACTAAAAAATAAGGAGAATTTGTGAAAGCAAAATAAATAAACTAAATATACCTTAATTATTAAAAAAGAAAAAAAAAACTTATAACATTTAAATTTATAGAAATGGATATAGATCTGCAAGAATTTAACAAAATTAATTTTATTTTCTGCAGTAGTATATAGATAATACGATATTTGCATCCAGTCTGTATGGGAGATCAAATTTTCTCCTATTATGAGTTGAACCGGGGTTTGATTCATCATGTTAAATGTTATTGTCTAGTTGAACTGCATTTTCTCCGATCGATTTCTTGTGGTTCAGGATTCATACTAACAAATGTATGTGATAGTTTCCAGAGGATGAGCATAGTTGGGTAATCAGGGAACGTGATGTGGAGACTGGGTGATTACTACCACCATCTTAATTCCATTCTAATGGTAGTGTAGTTCGCGTAAACATCAGTATTGCCTTCGGATTATTGAGATGAGCCCGTCAAACAAGCATAATTTTCTCTCGTGTTTCCGACAGAAGGTAAATGTAAAAAAAAAAATTTTTTTAAAAATAAAAAATAAAAAATAAAATCGGCAAAAATGAACCAAGCTCACGAAATACAGAAATAATTCGAAAAAAAAATTTTTTTTTTTAATTACAGTTAGAAGTAGGTGAATCCGACTAAAAGCATTACTTTAATTAAAATTGTGTAAAAAGGCAAACAAAAAGCTCATAAGTGCTGGAATAGGCTAAAACGAAATAAGTGGTGTTGGTTTCAACTAGCGAAATTGATGGCTATATCATCGTTTGATTAGTCAAGATTCTGATAAAGATATACCTCTCTTGCTATGGCCTCTATGCTAACCGGATTTATCAACGAGAGACATTTTCTTGTCATTTTTTTCTGACTCCTTTACCACGAGATTTAACATCAAATTGCGATAAAACGATCAGTGCTGGCAATGTTGTTATATTAGTTCTTTTCCGAGTATAGCATGAATTAGTAGATAACATCGGTGCAGGCCGCATGACTAAGGTTTTACACAAAAAACATCTCTGTGAACTGTAAATAAACATGGTTCATTTCTGTACATCTGTATACGTTATTTGCAGCTGTATTTGCATTTGCAGCTGGTCTTTTGTCCTTTATTTTTCTTTTCTTTACTGTAGCCTTCTTAAATTCTACACGGGGAAAAAACTACTGAACTGTATGGTAGTGACATTTCTGGAGAAAAAAAAATGCAATACTGGTTATAAAACCAAAATATATGATATTTAAACCATTAATTTGGTAATGCTGTCCGTCACGTAACGATTTACCAGAAACTCTGGTTTTCAAATTTATAGTTTTTATCTCCGCACGTTTAGAAAAAAAAATACAAAACTGAAAAGTGTATTAAACCGAATAAATGTTTTTATGCCATACTTTAAGGTGTCATGAAAAAATTTAATGCACATTATAAAACCTTATTTTATTGTTAATTTTACCAAAATCGCTATAAGAACGTTTCGGTAAAAATTACCTTGTTTCCATAGAGTCTGAAACATAGTAAATTTTATGATATTCTGGTAGTTTTGAACACACCTTTTTTCTCAGTGCAGACAGTATTATGAATAATCAAGTATTTTATTTTAAAAATTCTAATTCATACCAAGTTTTTAATGTTAAATTTAAACCTATTTAATTTATTACGATTCGAAATGAATTACAGTTTAAAGTTTAGGAATATTTTTCCTTGATAAATCCATAATAAATCCTTAATAAATCCTTAATAAATATGATATTGAACTAAAGTTGTATTTGTCATTAGCAAGATGCTAGTTTACACTTTGTCGTTGGCTTAGAAAGAAATTTAAATATTTTTTGTTTAATCTAGAAGGTAGATTTTAGTACCGCTTTTTTAGCAAAATTGCTTCTACATAAATATCTAAGTCGCATTTCTCTTATACCTAATATAAAGTCGTTGTAGCCGTATGAAAAAAGAATATAAATTATTAATTCAATAAAATAATAAAAGGAAGATATTTAAAACCATACTTGAACATATTAAAAGTAGTTTTAAGGAGGAATAAATATTAAACTAAAATGAGTTTTATAAGCAAATAAATAAGCAATTAAGTAAAGCTCTCACCCCTCTTGGAGAGCTTCTGTATAAATTGTTGATGAATAAAAAATTTGCCCACCAGTCTTTCTTACATCCATCAATTACAGGATCCATGTTTTCATGCCACAAAGGACCATCTCCCATTAATGGGAGCAATGTACTTACACCAACGAAAAACATCTGTATCGGCATAAACCTGCAAAAAATATAATATAAAAATTTTATAGCATACATACCTTGTAATTGGTACTAATTGTACGATAGGTACAAAAAATGACATTAATACTAAAATAAATTATATAGAATTATAAATGATTATAAATGATTGTGTATTATAAATGAATTGGTGTACAAAATGAATTTATATGATATTATTACTCCCTTGGTATTATTTTTAACGGATATCAGTTAAAATTTCAAAGAAATACAAAAAACTACTTCTAAATTGTGTAATTATATCAAATCTATTGTTTAAATTGTGTGGAGATAAATATTCTGACATTTTGCAAAAAGGTAAACTTAATAGTTTGCACAAAAGTTTCACAGCTGCCGTACAAATTTAGTTTTAAGATATAATTAAATAAAACCTCTTAACTTTTCTAAAACAATATAGTGTTAACAACATATTGCTATAATTAACCGAATTTAGATTACATAAAAACATACTGTTTCTTTCATAAAATTGATAAACATTAAAGTAATGGGAAAGGTAAAATCTAAATATAAGTAGGCTATTAAAACGTAAAGTAATGAATTTATAATGTATCATGAATTTTCAACGCTATATAGGAAAAATATTCTCAACAATGTATTTTAAAATTGTGATACATGTTTTGACTCTTTGACGCAGAATTTTAACTATACATATTTTTCATACTTTTAAATTCTTCTTTTTCAGTTTAGGACAAAATAAGCAAAAATATATTACATTTAGCATTTTAATACTTTTTGGTCATGAAATGCAGCATAAGACACCGTTGTCTTTTTTTTCGTTTTCTAAACATGTTCCACTTCCAAACAATAATTTCTAAAACTTGCACTTATTTGCAGTTATTCAGATCTCAGAGAAACAGTTACTCAACACTGACATTTCTTTAATTTGCAAATTCACTTATTAATAAATTTTTAAAAATGAATGGAAAAAAATGTTAATAACTTTTTTTTTAGTTTTATATTCTAGAAAAAATTTAATTCCGATAATCTAACAGATTTTTTCAATAACTATTAGAATATTTTTTATTATAAGCAATGGTAAAATATGTTTTTTACTCGTAATTAGATCATCAGAAAAAAATTTATAAAATTGATACTGATGTCCCATCTTCGCCAAAGGTTCAATTACTAACGCTATTATTGCAATGTGCGTTATAAATATTATTTCTTGCAGGGAAAATAAATTTGCGAAAAATATAGCAATATTTTTTTTTCAAATATAATCAAACATTAAAATAACTTGAACAAGTTAAAAATAAGTTATATTTTAAGTAGTTTTTTTTTTAGTTTTTTTGTTGACTTACCTCCAAAGTCTGTGAATTATGAAGTAAAATGCATTGGGTATTTTCCCTGTCTTATTTGAAATATCCATGGATACATAAACTCCGAGAAGACCACTAAAATAAAATCGCGCAACATATAAATTATTGCTGCTGTGAGGAATTGGTGGAAATAATTAGGAAATCATGATGAAATAAACACTTATAATTAAGGTACAGTCCGCAATAAATTAAACCGACCACCCTGAATAACTTTTAATATAATAATCGGATCTTCACGTTCTAAGACTAAATCTTGATGGTTCGAGGGGGTGACTTCAAATAAGCAAATTAAATAGTGCAGGCGATATTTTAAATTACGAAATCAGACACAGAAACAGACTTTCTCTGAATGAGCCGTTTCCTTGACGAATTCAGATTTTTGACCCTCAAAAATTAGGAGTAGCCATGAAAAGAGCCGTTCAAAGTTTGGACCCGTTAATGTTAATTTGACTTTTTACGTATTTCACAGACTTTGCCATAGATGGCGCCACTGGAAAACAAGAACAATCGCACCCCCTCCGCCTATGCAGGCATACGTCAACAACAACACAGCGCATTTCACCATATTTTGATAACATTTTAAGCTAATTGACAGATTTTTGTACACAATTATAAAATTTGTTTATTCAGAAATAATTTTATGAAATAATTAACTTTTAGTAATATTTACTATTTTTCATTATTTTATTTAATAAGAGTTGGAAAAAACTTTTAATTATGAGGTATAAACTTTTTTACAATATCTTAAAGAATGTAATTTCGCAGCAAAATACAAAATTTGCGCGAAGCGAAATCTGTCAAATAGTTCCAGAGAAATCAAATTTTGAAAAGGTCGTATTTCAGAAAATCTATTTCTCAGAAACTATTCGACAGATTTTGCCCAAATTTTGTATTTTGACAAGTAAAATGACATTCAGTGAGATGATGTTAAAAAAATTTATACCTTAAAAATTAATTTTTTTTCCTACTATTATTAAATAAATTATAAAAAATAATAAATAGTTGCTAAAAGTTATATTTTTTTAAAAAATCATCTTTGGAAAAAAGTATTTTATAATTGAGTTCAACATTTTTTTATTTAGTGAAATACGCAAAAAGTAAAATTAACATTAAGGGCACCTAACTTTGAACCGCTCTCCTGACAGTTCGGGACCCTATTTTCCAGATTTCGGCTACCCCCTATATCTTAGGAGTCAGAAATCCAAATCCCTCAAAAAAAGGTATGTTTATCCAGAGGAAGTACTTTTTGTGTCTGATTTCGTATCTTAATATAAAATCTGGACTAATTAATTAGAATATTTAAGGTCTCACCCTTGATTTATTAAGATTGAGTCCCAGATCGTGAAGATCCGACAATTAGATCAAAAGTTATTCAGAGTTATTATTTTAAGCACTGTGCATTAAATTCTAATGATTTATTCAATTATTCTTTTCGTAATTATTCTCAATTATTCTTTTGAACACAAAAAAAACACTAACAGAAATAAAAGAATAATAAAATTAACTTCACTGCACATTTTTATTAAATGTAGTTTCATACGTAACAAAATTTTATTTCTGATAAAATACTTTTTTCGTATTAAATTTAATCCATCAGTTATCATAAGCTTTTCTCAATAAGTAAACACTAAAAAAAATTTGTTTTACTACAATTACGAACGGCAGCTTGAAACAGTAAACAGTACTAATGTGTGTGAAAAAAATTACCTTTTAATTACTTAAGCCTCCAAAATAAATTTATATGAATTAATTTGAAAAAAACAATATTTTTTATTTTTACAAATAACTCCCGGAAGCAATAAAATGAACTTGTCATTTTTATTGGAAAACATTAATAGTGTTTTTATTTACTTAAACATCACGTAAACCAATTAAAATGTCAGCAAATTTCAATATTTTTGGATATTTAGTAAATGTAAAGTTTAATGGCATAAAAGTCTTCAACGACCAACATAAAAAGTATTCATAATTATGGGTAATATTAACTTTGCCTGACGCTAAGAAACCAAGAAAAAAAATGGATTGATAACAGGAAATGCGGAACATCAGATTTGAGCTTACTATAAGAAGATAACTTCATTGAAAGAGTTATATATTAATAATTATACTGGGATTAAAAATAAGCTCTATAAATTAAGAAACAAATGAACATAAGAACTGAGTATGAGTATTAGTCGTTTTTGAATATCTTATTAGATCATTGTGTCGGGAGAGAAGTATTCGACCATGTCAACCTTCATCTATGAAAAGGTATCCCGACATAGAGTCGAGTTAACATGTCTTATATACTATTGAATTGTAGTTGTAATTTTGTAGTGGTAGATACGCTACAATACTCCCCCACCAGAATTATAGCTATGATAGAATTCGATGAATGCATGCCACTAGTTGAGTCATTGCTGTTTTGTGCGAAGCCGGGAGAGCTGTATTAAGATCACCGTATTTTTTTTAGTGCTGAATGTGAGAGGTGTATTAACTTCACGGTTGTAGTCGCTCCTGTGTTGCCGTTAGCAGTCGAGTGTATGCAAGCCAACGTTGTGTGTGATTGAGATGAGACTGAGTAGCAACTGCGTGAGGAGGTGGATAATGTTGCAGTCACAAGTAGCAAGTCAACTGTTCAATGTGGATCATCCTTCGAAGTAGGCGTTACTGTCTAGGTAGGCGTGTTCATATCGAAGTCGGCGTTACTGCCAAGGTAGGCGTGTTCACATCACGTCCGAAGGTCACCAATGTGGGGAGAGTAGTTACAGACCATGTCAACTTTCATCTATGAAAAGGTACCCCATGATTGAATCAAGTTAGCAACAGTGCAACTCCTCCCTCCCCACATTGGTGACCTTCGGACGTGATCTGGATACGCCTACATCGGCAGTAACGCCTACTTTGTTGGATGGTCCACATGGAACAGTTGACTTGCTACTTGTGACTGCATCATTATCCACCTCCTCACGCAGTTGCTACTCAGTCTCATCTCTATCACACACAACGTTGGCTTGCATACACTCCACTGCTAACGGCAACACAGGAGCGACTACAACCGTGAAGTTAATACACCTCTCACATTCAGCACTAAAAAAAAATACGGTGATCTTAATACAGCTCTCCCGGCTTCGCACAAAACAGCAATGAATCAACTAGTGGCATCCATTCATCGAATTCTATCATAGCTATAATTCTGGTGGGGGAGTACTGTAGCGTATCTACCACTGCAAAATTACAACTACAATTCACTAGTATATAAGACATGTTAACTCGACTCTATGTTGGGGTACCTTTTCATAGATGAAGGTTGACATTGTCGATAACTACTCTCCCCACAATTGTATAAAACTTAATCACAATTAAATCATACTCACCTGAGGAAAAAAAAGTTGTCTACCAGGAAAGAGGCATTTGTGATTGAGTTAAAAATGAATTGACTAGTGAGTTCGATAGTAATTTGTAAATATTCTGAAAGAAAAAAATAACATATTTAATTAGATTGATTTCATCACAGATAATCAAATAAAAATTAAGTTTAAAGAAGAAAAATTCTTAAGTACCTTTTGAAAAATATCCAACTTAAAACTTAAAAAAATGTGTCACATGATTATTGGTAAGTACCGCACATTATTTATTCCCTCAAGTAAAGCAATACATTTTCAGAACGAATTTGTTTCATAACAGAAATTCATTGTAAACAGCTTTGTAATGTTTCTATACATTCTGAAGCTGAATATTCTTTTATCATGGGATGTTACCGAAAGAATCAACTTCAAAAATAGTTTAAAGATAAGCAATCAAAGAAAAACGGAAAAAATACTGCACTATTCTGCTTTTGGAACCAATTTTATTAAAAAATGTGTCTTAAAAATTTTTTTTAGGTTTTGAACAATGTTTTCTGCACCATGTTAGGCTATTCCAACTGAAATATTTGCTGGAGGCTCAGTTTAGTTTCCCCTCCTTGCTGTGCAATAGTGTTACTGCAAATAACGTTCATTTTGAAAACATTGTTTTATAGTTTTAATCTGTGTGGAGAAGCTTTATAATTAATATTATTTCTTAACAACAAATATAGCTATTTTCACGTACTGGATGATTGTTTAAGACACCAGGTATGTTAGATATTAAGTTTGTTTTTTTTAGTTGCTAATGTTCAGTACTGTCCTTTTTTGCATAAAAAATCTAATCAATAATCAATTTTTTTATAAAGCGTTCGGGTGACAAAAAACATTTATTTAATATAATGTATTATTAAGTTTAAAAGAAATTATTTTGTTAGTACGTTAATTGTAATAAAATTAACGACTGCTTAAATTTAAAAATGAATCTACCTATACTGGAAAAAATTATAAACTTAGAAATACAAATTGTGTGACTTAATAAAAAGAAATATATGAGAAGTAATTAACGAAGATAATTAACTAAGTTACGGAGAAGGAAATTTACAGCTCAGTTAAAGTTCATACCTCTCTTGAATTAAATTTTTTTTTCTCTTTTTAAATTTTTTAATATATACATTTCAGCTAATCTGCGACAGCTAATCTCTCACTTCCTCTCTTACTATTTCACTCTGTCGCACTCAGGTTCGAACTTATAAAGTGAAGATCTCAAGAGAAAGAAATAAAATATTCCTAGAACAATGACTAATAATTCATTAATTGAAAATTAACATAAAACTAAAAGAATTATTGAAAAAAAAAACGAAAATTCGAAAACTCCTGCGATTAAGTTCATATATATGGAAAACCTTTTCAAAACATCAAATTTCGACTCGCTTATTCTAGATTTAATAAAAGTAGTTTTTAAACTATATTTTTTTTATTTTATCGTTCTCCTTGCATGCATTTTTTATGCCCCATCGTAATTTTAAGTTTCTAAGTAATTGAGCTTTCTGGCATTAAAAAAAATAAAAACTGTGACGTAAGAACGTTCAAAGCACTGGTGATAGCATCACTCACGCTTTCATAACATAGAAAAAAATGACATTAAAATTAGAGAATAAAAAGAAATTGATGTACTTACTTAGAACATTAAAATTTAAATGGAAGTATGTATGTCCAAAAATAATCCAAAGCATGGAGAAGAATCGAATGCCGTGAAGAACGCTCAGTTGATCTTCCCCAGCATTCACGTCCATTAGAAGTTTCCAGTTATTAATTATGGAGAAACTAATTGCGAATTTTTTTCCGTAAGCTAAAACAAATTCAAGTATTGTAAGTATACATGATTATATTTTAATATCAATAAATAGTTAGAAGCAACTTCAGAAAATAAATTTAGAAAAGCGATATTTAAAAAAAGAGATCTAAGCCTTTGCTGTTGAATGCAGTGTAGATAATTTCAAAAGCATTCTCAAGTTTATTTATTTTTTCTAGTTAATTATTTTTTTATGAAAACATTATGAAAAAAAATTCTATCTTCGCATTTTTATTCAATCTCTAAAATGTTGAAATGCTAATAAACTTTTAATTGACGCTTTAGAAATGTTTCATAAACATTTTAAAAACACTTCAAATTGTTTTAGAGTTCCAAAGTTTAAAATATTCTGACCCATTTGTCTTGATAGGCTTGGTCAGCGAATACCATGGATTGGGCTATGGTTCGACCATGGAGTTGAGATAGTATTCAACTCCATGGAGAGTATTTCAATTCGACTCCCCATGCTGAAGGCGGGATTGTTGATTGAACTACACTTTTTCAGACTTTGGAATGACCTCAAATGTAATGTCATCGGTGACTTCTTAGTCGAGAAAGTCCACGCACGGATGGGCGTTTGGTGAGGGAGATGCGAAAGCCAGGTAATTACTAATACCATTTGAACTTCGTAATAGTTCTAAATTGATATAGAGTAATACGCTTGTGATAGTATTGTCTATGGATTGCATTGATTTCAGGGATCATGCACTTCAGACCGTTGCTAATAGCCATTAGTGTAGCACTAGCATGAAATTATTCAAAAAAAAATTCTTATCAGGTATGAAATTATTTCAAAAGATACCGAAAACTAAATACCAACTATTAAGTTTTGTCGAAGATAACAGCAAGATCTTAAATACCTTGGACATTACATGAATGAATTAAATCTATGTATTTTTCTACTCGGGGAGTCAAATCCGGTTGTGCATCAGTAGTCCATTTTTTATTAAACTCCTAATACGTAATTTGGAATATTTATTTCAAAAATTGCAATTACATTATTTCTGTGTCTTCTTTTAATAGATTAAAGAATAATTACATTTTCAACCGAAAAAAAATTTTTTGAAGAAATATTTCGCTTAATTGTTTTTTTATTCTATTAAATTCTTTTAATCCATTGTTGCATCATAAAAAATTCCCGGTGTGCTTTTTAAAGGAGAAGCATATCTGTAATATAACTGAAACTTTATTTTTTGCAGTGTTTATATATGGTATTTGTTTTATGTCAAATTAGGAAAAGTACAAAAATTAAAAATAAATTTTAAGATTTATTTAAATTTCTAAATAAATTATTACAGCATGATTTTTAAAGAAAGAGAAATAGTGAAAAATTTGAAATGGAGAAGACGTTACTTACTCAGCTCAAGTTTTTCATTTTGAAGTTCAGCTTGTTTCTTTTGCACTGAATGCTCAACACATGTCCCGTAAATAACAAGTATAACCAAAATTCCTATGACACACCTGTTGCGGATTTATCAGCCATTAATAAAACTTCAAATTATATCTCAAATTGTTCTTTACCTAATTTTAGTTATTATATTACATTTTACATGTTAGACTTTTTGTTTTAATTTTTTGGACAGCAAAAGAATTAACTTTTAACGCTGTTTTTGAAAGGATCCGTCATAATATGTAAGGATGCTTTTTTGCGAATAATATGCTGTTTTCATAACTACTTTGAATTTGCAACTGTTACTCATGACTGTTAGGTGAAGTTTAGCCTATCTAAATTCAGAGCTGTGAACACTAATTTTGAAAATGGAGCAACACGTCAATATGGAGAAACGCCAAAGTTCTGTGAAAATGAAAAGTGTTTGTGACATAATTTTTTAATATTTAAAAACTTACTTTAATGCTGCATTATTTGGTCTCTAAAAATTTACAGAAACTGAGAATAAGGCTACGATTTTGATAATAAATTTTTGTAATAAATGTCGCCAAATTAGTGATTTTTTTTAAAAACAATTCATTTACTTTCAAAATATTTAAGTTATTTGTCTTTTCTAAAGCCAAGGTAATTTTTCATGCCCAAACTATATATATATATATATATATATAAAGTTTAAAACCATCACATTACATATTGTAAGACACTTAAACTAAGGCTTTCTAATTTTAAGAGAATACATTTCAACGTACTTACGATACTGAGCTGAGTTTTCACCTGTTTAAATAAAATATCCTAACTACTTCATTATAACTTTACTTTAAGTAGTGAGATGGGAAACTTTTTTACTAAATTTTTACCATCTTTTGCAATCAAACTATATTTCGTTCCTTAAAAAATAAGGACGCGTAAGAGCTTTATGTGCTAAGATATAAAAAAGATTATAAAAATATAGATTAAAAAGACTGTGAATTATTTCTTTATAACATAGAGTGTTTCAAAAATAACCGCCGGTTTGAAGAAACATTTTTTTTAAATGAAGGAATGCAGAAATAAATGGTTCGGTACATAAAAACACGTGCTGCTTCGGATACAAAAAAAAAACTTTTATCGCAGCTAATTTCAAAATTAATTGCAAAATTCATCGACAGATGGCACTTCAAAATGTAAAAATTTGTGGTTTATGTTTTCTGTCGCATGACAGACCTTTCAAACTGAAATATTCGCAAAGGTGCTTGATGATTTGTCCACAGACTTTATTGCAGTTTGCAGTATTCATGCCTATAATGCTTATTTTAAAAAACATCGTTTTTTAATCTTTATCAGGTAGAAACACCAACTGCTGACGAGCTTAGTAGCTAATTTTGAATCTTGGTGAAAAACTTATGGTATGGTAAGCAGAACGCAGCAAATGTAACATGTTAGTTTCTTTCCGATTTTATTTCATTGATTTTTAAAATCGTCTGTCTTTCTTCGGGAGGACATTGTGTGTTCTTTCAAGATCACTTTCAGTCACATTTTCGAAATATTTTGTGGTGTGTTATGCACGGGTTTATATTCTTGCATGATCTTAAACTATTTTGAATCAATGCTCATGAGTTTGTTCACTTAATTTAAAACTCCAAGAAATGTTCTATCACGTTGCTCATTTCATTTTATTTTCCAGGACCACCAATGGCAAAATAGGAATCTTGCTTTTATTGAAATGCGTAGTACTTAAATTGGTATTACTCTCAGAGCATTTGTTATTGACGAATATTTTTCCTAATAGTTTTTGCATAAAAAAAAGTTACCAAGCTAATTTGAAAATTTATCACTTTCTTGAATGCCATTCTAAGAAATTTTAGAGAGTCGACACATTCGTTTATTCATTCAGTTCTTATCACATAGGAAAAAGTCCAGGGCCCGTAATTGTAACCAACTTCAGCAAAACTAGAAGAGTTGTCAGTCAATTTATCGGTTTATCAAAGCTTCCTTTTTCAGTTCGTAAGTACTCATACATTTACTTGGTGTTCTCAGCAACAAGCTACAAGCGGAAATATCTCGGGTTCAAATCCAACTTAATCCACCGAACAATTCTCAACATTGGTGAACACGCAACTCTCTCATTCTTCCACCGATGGTACACTATTCTGCCTGATTTCACAATTCCCCTTCATTCGACAAATAATTCACCTTTTTTTTTAAATAAAGTCAAAGAAAAAACTGAAAATAACTTTTACGGGCATAACTTTTATTTACGGTCAGTAACCATACATTTCGAGAGAAAAAATTTGAGAGCAGATCTGAATTTTTATAGTCATAATAACTTTACTCATATAAATTTATTTTTGCAGAACCAAAACTTTTTTTTTCTGTTTCGAACCATAATTTGGAAATTTCTTAGAGTATATAATATAAAGCACAATAACAGACATATTATTTAAATAATTTTGTAAACATTTTGTGAAAAAAATACTTATATGTTTTATTTAATCCATAAGTTTAAATGTTTGCAATATATTTTCTTTAAAAGATTAATAAATTATGAGACAACGGTAGAAAGTGTTACATTAAATTTTAATCAGGGTTGTTTTTAAAGTATGTAACATAATTATAACATTCGAAACAAAATAATAGATATTATTCAAAATTTTCTTATGGTCAAAGCTGTTAATATCGCTTTAAAAATGGCGTATTTTTTGTTGAAAATATTAAAGCCCTGATTTTCACAAAAATTATAAGAAAAATAAAAGAAGAATACTTACAGTATAGGTATCTGGTAATATTCAAAAACTAGTTCCTCTTTCGTCTCACATCTTGGAACAGTCACATTTGCAGGAAACGTTTTTTTTAACACTGAAATATTAATTTAATTATTTTTTAAGAAAAATTTGTCCATTTTGTAAATGCAAGATTATATAATGTAAGATAAAATAAACAAAAACCTCAATTTATAATCAAACAAAACCTTAGAAATCTAATCAAACTACACTTGCTTATATGAATTTTTTTTTAAAATATATTGTCGACAAATATTTATAACGATATTAGTTATTGCAGGAAGAGTGAAACACTAATTTTTTTCTTAAATCAAAAGAAATTTTTACTCTGCCATAAACTAGTATTACTACAATCATAAAAAATAAAAAATAAAAAAATATTACTAAAACATAAAAAATAAATAATAAAAATAAAGCTGTTAATTGTTTTAATACAAACATAAAAAATAAGATTTGTATTAAAACAATTAACAGCCTAAATAATGTCAATGTTGTTGTTGTTGTTGTCATAGGCCATTAAGGCAAAGGGTGCGTTTGTTCTTTTCTTCCAGTGGAGCCACTTACGGACAAGAATTCGACTTCTTCCACACCCATACGCCACACCTTGCTATAGGGACCCATTTATACAACCATTCATCCACAGATCGTAATTTTGATTACAATTAATCTCCAATTCAGTACTCCCAGAAGTATAATTTCTGATGGAGAAGAAAGAGACATGGAGAACTTTGTGACCCGACAGGTTAAACGTTCACCGGTCACCATTTATTATATGGAGAGTCTTCGGCCGGCTCGATTGGAACTCTAGTTCTCACGAATGAGAGTCCAGAGCCCTGCCAGCCAGGTTATCCCGGCACAAATAATATTATTATATATGATTTAGATAGTATTACAAAAATATATATATAAAGAGTATAATAATATTAGCATTATAACTCATCATAAGCAATTTAAAACTACTAACATTAGTATAAAAAACTGTGTAAATATTATTACTCGAGTAAATATTGTAAGTAGCATAAAATACCAAGTAGTAGTAATAAAAGGAACATAAGAAATATTATTATACGAGTTATTATACGAGAGCAACAAGGATTTCAATAATGTAAATAGTCTTGGTATTATTATTATGTAAGTATAAAAAAATAAATGTTTGATTAAAACATGAAGTGTTTAGTAATAGTAACTATAAAACACATTATAAGTATTTAGAAAAATAAAATAATTTCTAGAAGGGTAAAATTTGTATTGTTTTCATGATTTCACGCTCTAAGCAGTTAACATTAAAAGTTGTTAGTTTTGCGCAAAAAGTACTCATAGAAGATAGATTTGTTTCTTACAATACTTGCTGAATCAAAAACATAATAATAAATCAGGAAGAGAATAATAATGTGCTATATGAGTAACATGTATAAAAAGGAATACATTTTTTCATGAAAATTTTATGTTTCCAAGCACAAAGCAGCAAGAAAGGAATTAATCTTTTGTTTCTTAAGATATATATATATATATATATATATATATATTTTTAATCTGTTT